GAGGAGGATGTAGACATACCGGGCAACGTGCAGTAGAATGGCTTCTCTCGTGTGTGACTGCGCATATGCGCCCTCAACGCGTAGCCACTCGCATGCGGTATGCCCTTTCTTGTGCAGTCGCTCCACTCGCAGCTGTACTTCTTCTGTCGCGTTCCAATGTGGTCTTCGTGGAGATGCTCGACCAGGTTGTCCATGTTCTGTACGTCACCTGCCTGGCAGCCTTCCCACTTGCAGACTGTGACTTGCTCCTGGCCGTATTCGTCGTCTTGCGACATGCCAGGATGATGGTTTGGCGATGCGGGAACCGAGCCATCTGTGTCTTCCGACAGCTCGTCTTCCTCCTCGGCCGGCATTGCAGCCAAGTGGGCGGGCGGTGGAGATGACGGTGCGCGTATATTCAGGCGCGGCCGTTTGCTGGGGCGGTGGTCGTGATCTGGCGTGGCTTCGTAGCTGAGCCGAGCGCCCTTGACATCCTCGGGGAAGTCGTCGGAGGCGTAGTCGGAGAGGTCTGAGCCTGGTGACTCCATCATCTTGGGCAGAAGTCGAGTAGGGCACAGTGAGTGGTGAGTGGTGAGCAGTGACGCAGAGGTTCAGCAATGATATGTAGAAGGAAGGCGTGTTGCGAGCTGGGGGCGTGTCGTTCTGGCAGTCGGGCGGAGCGGAGAGCAGGGGTGTTGCGACTAACTAGCGCCCGCAATATTCTGTCCCAAGCTTCCAACGCAACTTTCTCATCATCACTCCTCCATCAAACGCAGGTCGGCCGTTCCAATGGTGGACGGGCGTCACAAGTGAAGCAGCTTTGTACACTAATCACCGGAAGTACCGATAGTCGTGGTAAGTTCACTCATTCTCACAGCCACGTTCCCAATGATGTTATATTCCAGAGTTCTGCAATTCCCAGGAGCCTGCCTCACAGCGGTCTCGCATGCCGATTAACTCATACACTACAAACACTTATCTGAGCCCAATCCTCCGACACGTCTCTCAATCCGTACAGCTTTGTCATTAGTTGCTGACTCAGTCTTAGTGACCTTAGGTGTCGCAGCTATGCGAACAGCAATGCGTCATGCACATTAGGGTACCGCCCACCCACCGGTGCAAACTTTTTGAGAATATCGTTCAAAGTTTTCACGTCCTCGTCATTGAGCTTCGCCGGCCTCATGTTCTCCTCGATCCGCGCCGAAGTTGTGGCACCTGGAATGGGAATCATGATTGGCATACCCTTGGTGCCGCTCAGAGCGAGAATCCAACCAAGTGCGATTTGCGCAGGTGTGGCATTCTTTGACTTGGCAATTTCTTCGACGGCATGAAGGAGTTTGATGTTCTCGTCAAATACATCGGGCTGGAAGCGCGGCATATGGAGAAGCATAGAGTCCTTCTCGATGTCACTGTGCTTCTTGTACTTCCCCGTCTGTAGCAATCGTCAGTCTCGTATATCAACAAACGGTAGGGTAGGTGAACTCACGAGGAATCCTCGTCCCAAGGGTGAGTATGTGACGATGGGAATGCCCAGTTCTGCGCAAGTTGCCGCAACACTATTCTCCAGGATATCCGTCGACCAGAGCGAAAACTCGACCTCGACAGCCGCGATAGGATGCACCTTAGCCGCCTTGCGAATTGATGCACCGCTAACCTCTGACAAACTAATCCCCCCAAGCTTCCCGGCCTTGACATACTCCGCAATATAGCCAATCGTATCCTCAATCGGCGTTGCTGGATCAACACGTGCTTTGTACAATTAGCATACAATCCGTAGACTCCAAAACATTAGATATCAGAATCAAAATACTCACCACACTCGAACAAATCCAAGAACTTCTTGCCCTCAAGAACCTTCAAGCACTCCTCAATACTTCTCTTGATACCTTCCTTGCTCCCATCCGGCCTCATCTCCCCCGGCACAAGCCCCCCTTTAATCGAAAGCACGACTTTGTCAGCATCCTCGGGATACTGCGTAAAGTACTCGTTCAGCAAATGCAGTGAATTGCGCTCCGGGGATCCGTAGAGTTCGCCGCCGTTCCAAAAGTTTGCGCCGTGGGAGAGGGCGCTGCGCATTGCGGTGATAGATTGGGCTTGTGGGGGTGGGGAGGCGCGCCATGTTAGGCCTGTATATTTGTAAGATTGGTTTAGTCAAGTTCGTTAAATGATTATGAGTTTGTGAGGACAGACTGGGATGGTTTGTTTGATAAAACGAGGTTCGAGGACGTACCCATCATTCCGTAGCCGATGTCGCCGACTTGTTTTCCTGTGAGTTTGGGCATCTTCGGCGTTGTATAATTTATTCGTGGCTTTTATTTTTTGCTTTGATGTTTTCAATGTAAGTTGTAGAATGGGTGTGACGCGGATTCTGGTGCTGGTTTTAGTTGGCTGGACTGGTGGGGTACCGGTTAGTTGGCAATTGGACTCAACAGTAATTATATAGAAATTTTGTTAATCTAGAAAGATAGCGCTGGCTCCCGACAACACTCTTCTTGATGATGATATCACAGCTACCTACCTAACCCATCATGCTGGGAATTTCATTCCGCGCAAACAATTCTGTTAACTCCATAATCTCCAGCCTCTCCCCTGGTAGATTCCATGGCTCTTGTAACACATACATGCGACTCTTGTGTGTTGCTCAGGCCTGAAGTGTACACAGTAGGGCGAGTTGTGTAGCAGGTGCAATGGTTTTCCGGTGGGGCTAGGTTAGGTGCCGGAGAAAGGGTGTTTTAAGTCCGGATTATCCAATTGTAGGGGTGACAAGGCTGTGCTGGGACGTCCTGGTTGCGTGACCGTCGGCTTGGGTTTGATCCGTGGTGGGACGCTTCGTTTTGGGGATCGTACTGTATGTCGGGTTTGTTTCGGGTGTATAATGATGTGGTGCAATGATACCCGTTGGTAATGGTTGTGATGCCGATTTTGCGGCATGTCTGTCTGCTTAGAAGTGTTCGGCATACAGAAATTTGGAAGTGTGCGGGGCCACGGCATATTGACAGGAAGCAACTCCGTAGTTTGTGTCATCAGATGTGGCAGGCGTGTGATGTTGGCAATAGCTGTCGTGATCTCTTTGGTCTTTGGATACTGCATGTAAGCGATGCGGTGGAGATGCAAGAAGGACACATAGGAGTTGGAGATAAGTACGAAAGCCAGGAGTTCGCCAACTCGGCGTGCGTGACTGATACAGTAGTATCCTTTGTCTTACTTAGATCATGTTTCTTTATTTCGAAAAGTCTGTAGAGTATGCTATAACAGCTACAAGTGTACGATAATAAGCCATGATGAATAAGGATATGGTGGTTTTTGTGACTAATTAAACTGCCGTTACTGCTGCTAATGCTTCTAGCCGTTTCAGTCTATTGAGGGGATGCGACGATTTGATATTTGCAGATGGATGTACCACATAGCGTCCAAAGTGTGGTAACTCTACGTGTACGCCTTCACCGCATCTTCTTTTCGCCCGCTTCATCCAAGTCCCGCATCACAGCCCGAACTGGCCACACAAAGCCCTCTTCCAAACCTCCCTTCCTCCGCTCATCAATTGTGACCAGATACTCCACAAGCGCTATACCAACGTACGACCCAATCCCCGTCAAGATATGCCACCAACCATGCAACTCAAAAATGAAACCCCAAGGTAGACCAATCCAATGCTTAAATGCCGAGACATAACTGCAAAGATGGAAATCGATATTCCACAAAAAGTAGCCGAACAACCCGGTCGAAATGCCAAATGTCGCCATTTTCCTTAACTTCTTTCGATGATCTTCACTCTTGACTTGTTTCCTGATCAGCGTCCTAGTCTGCTTCGACACAAGGAAGATCATAATCGCAAAGGTCACTTCATGCGCCACGATCTCATCGGCCCAGACATGGTACACTGAGATGGGCACCACGGTGCCAAGGATAGCGAGCGTGTACTTGCGTCTCTCACTTGCTGATGCTTCGAAGCAGAGGAGTTGGTGCAGGCTGGCGCCCACGGCGAGGAACATGCTCAGGTCGTCCCCCATTTGGCTGTGGTACTTCAGTGTGGCATGGAAGTAGGCTGAAAGCAGGCCCACGCCTATGAGGCCCCAGTAGGGGAACGCGAGAGTGGAGAGGTAACCACCCTCTTTGTGGGATCGTACGCGGCGGAGACCGTGGATACCGTAGATGACTTCAACATCAAGAGTGAATTTTGGTGGTAGGGTATGGGAAATTTTGGAGACGTACCATACGTGGCGTTGGTGAGGGTGTTGACCAACTCTGCAATGTAAGGTGTAATGTTATAGTCCTGTTGATCATAAGATTCCATACTTGAAAATGTCTTTCACTGCATCACTCACTTCTTCACAAAAACTTCATCGTGTCAGCTCACATTATTATGTCTTCTCATCATCGTAGGTCTTGGGCTCTTACTTGTGGTTCGATGTCACCGGGCCATAGGCTCCAACACCCGGCGACTCAGGATATGCCCAGTGCAGTTGCATAGTGCGCGTTGTTCCTGTGTTAACTTAGGGCTGCTCCTACTTAATTTGGGGTGTTACTGAAGTGGAAGGAAACCTAGGATGAGTGTAGGCTTAAGCTTGGACCGAAGCTCCACGTGTCGCACTACAAAAAAAATACCGCAGTTGCGGCGAGGCTGACGATGCCGCTACGACAACCTAGGACGCAGGGAATGCCTTGTAGATAGAGGCTTCGACGATGTTGGATCATGTTCCAAAATTTAGGTTGCCTACCAACTGGAGTGCTTGGCATGCATCATTCATTGTAGCGGACGGTCCAGCTAACCTATCGCTCCTAATATGATGATAACTTGTCGCGGAAGTTGTTCTGTGTCGTACTATGCCTTCACGACAGGAGAAAAATATTTTGAAACTTGAAAGACTTTTTGCATCAACGGGCGGCGCCTTAATGATGATGATGGGTTGAAATCAGGTTGTAAATTTGAAGGACTAGCTAGGAAGAAGCGGGTAAACAAAACATGCCTCACAAGCAAGCCATGTTGCTAGCAACCAAACAATCAAAAACAGCAAAAATATGGGTCCTGCCGCGACTCGAACGCGGGGCCTCTCGCAAATTGTGCTTGGGTGTACCCTAAGCGAGAATCATACCACTAGACTTGAGAACTGTTAGTACATGTGTTTTGAGATGGAACTCGAGTTGAACTTACCCACAGGACCTGTGTTCTTGATGACGAGATCTTGAATTTGATGGGTTATAAAGAGATAAATCTTGCTAGAGAGGGCCTCCCTCCACGGCGAGCTTGTTCGTGTCAGCCGCCGCTTCAAGCTAGAACGCTCGAGTGCAGGTGGGGTCCCAAGTGGGCCGCCATTCTTTGCTTTGCATGTGAGCTAACACTAATCATGAGCGCCGTTTCAGGAAATGGGCGGCTTTAAAGGGTGGAGGATAGAGGATGTTTGTAGTGAAAGGGCGTGAACGATGAGAGACATTGCTTCGCGAATAACGTCATGATACTTTAGGCATGAGGCGATTCACGTGCCTCGACACCGGTGAACACGTGGGTTCGCTTGTACTTGCCCCGATGTCAGCTTCTGGCCAGCGAGTCCCTCGTGCAATCGAACTACCAGGATATCCGCCAGCTATGTGTACGTAACACATGATCTATTCCTGCTACTTTATGTTCGATGAAAGATATTACCAATGCTGTCAAGAAAGACTCTGATGAGTCAAGAATAACTACTGCCATCAAATGGTTTCTAGTGGTGTTTGATAAGACTATAGTCAACCAAAGGAGACGTACCTGCTCCTTGCGATCTCCAGATTTTACAGACATACGAGACGCAATCCAGAGGCGAACGTCAGCACAAGACGCTATGCTCTTGCCATATAGTCTGATTCTGTGACTCGACAGACAATACGACCACAATGAGTAGTGGACCGCCTAAGAAGAAGCGGAGAGGTGGCCCACGAAGGAGAACAGGTAAGTAACTATTTTGGACAGCTCTGGGGTAGACAATATAGCAGCAGTTAACGCAGCTAGGTTGGTACGTAATCGGAATCTGTTTTTATACCCGTCACTAATGTATCAGAAGTCAAACCTGTAAGCGCAGACATATTCGCTGTGACGAAAAGAAACCCAAATGTGGGAGCTGCGAACGTCTTGAACTAGAATGCGAGCAATCAGAAGACAGCACCTGGATAGCCACCCACGAAAATCTCATAGATGCTCCGCCAAACCAGACATTTCCGACGCTGATAGATATCTTCAGGTCGCGCATAAGCGATCTGGAACCAGTAGTCTATGAGCCTGCACTCCCCGAGCCAACACTAGGCCTATCAAATCAATCCCCGCAAACAATAGATGGAGCCCATCAAAACCCCAGGGAAGTCACCCTCAGTTCCGAAAGTGCCTTTCTGCTCCAGACATACGTTCGAACAGTAGCAAGATGGATGGACATATTCGATCATGCAAGCACCTATCAGCACGTTGTTCCACAGCTCGCTCTACGATCACCACTCATGTTTCACTGTGTATGCGCATTCACCGCGAACCATTTGGCCCTTTCAAATGGCAGTCGGGATCCCTCCTGGAGACTTATCGCTGCGAAACATTACGGTGAAGCTCTGCGCCTGCTCATCAATGCACTCAGCCTGCCCTCTCATGAGCACACACTAACGGCGAGCATGTTACTTCTGAGTTACGAAATTCATGAAGCACAGCGATCTGAGGACTACCGACGTCACTTTCTCGGTCTTACAATGTTGATCAAGGCCCGGGGCAGCTCCGCTCAGTCTACCGGCATCGAGCGAGCCAACTCTTGGATCTACATTCGACATGAGATTGTGGTCGCGATGGCGAACAAGGAGCCGCTCATACTCGACCCAAGAGAATGGGCGGTATCCTGGAGGGACAATGAGTCAAGAGAAGACGTACTAGGTAACCACGTGCTGTGGATTCTGGCGCGTGTCCTAAATTTAGTCTTTGGACCAGATGGTACAACAGAAGCTGGCAAGGCTATACGACAAGGCTTTCTCCAGGAGATCGAGACGTGGCGCGCTGGCTTGTCAGACACATTCGTTGGTATTAAATACGGTAACAAATTCGAAGATGGATTCAGCAAGGTCTACTTTCCTGTCGTCGCTGCTGCTGCGGCAGCCTTTTGTGAGCGACACGCGACACTATCCCCTTGATTAGACACCGAGTTGACTGATTGGATATTTCCAGGGTACCATATCACCCATATTCTTCTCTACACAGAGCCGTGCTTGCAAGATCAGAGCTATGTGCCTCTCATACAAGACGAAGCGATGAAAGTCACAAACATAGCCATCTCAGATTTCCCTCCAGCTCTCATGGTGTTTTCTTCACATGGATTGTTTTATGGTACGTCTCAAAGTTGCTCGACCTGTACCGTAGCTAAAGTTCTGGAATTATCGCTGATAATCGAGTAGCTGCGAAACACATCCAAGGTATCTCGCGCAAGGCCCGCATATGGAACGTTCTCAACGACGTAGAGAAACAGACTGGCTACAGTACTGGGGTACTAGTTAAGCAGCTACAGGACATCGTCGAACATAACTGAGATGAGAGATTTACCATCAATTTATAGATACTTTGGAACATGAGTTGCCATGATCTAGTATAAACGTACGATTTGCAACATCCCGTCAGGGGTGACAACGGGTGTCTAAGCCTCCTGCTAGAAGCGCACTCTCCCAGAAATTTTTTTGAGCCCTCTAGCAATTCATTTTGACCATACGAGATGGGAGCTGTATGAGCCCACAAATTGATATAAGCGCCGGCAGCTTCGCACCTTGTAACAGCGTGGCTGCGCCCCTGCGGCACAGTCACGCGAGAAGCCGCACACTCTTGGTCAACTGAGATAGTAAGAAATCCGCCATCCAGGTGTGCACGCAATCTAGGAGGAATACAGTGGCTTGGGTTCTATACAGCGTACAAGCCTAGCTGTATACATGATTTGTAGTAGTCCAACATGGCTACAGGCTGTTATAAAGAAGTGTGAAGACATAACCCGAATAGACGTCACTGCATCAACAGGGTTCTTGCTCATACCCACCACAGGCAGCAGCTTTTGGCTTCTCGGGCCACAGGCATCAGTATCTGCATCGGTCGCAATGAAACTATGATTGTTTCTGAGTCGGTGACATGAAAGTGCAGACTGCCATTATCCTATCAGATCACACGCAAGCCAATCGCATGAATCATACCACTCTTTGGGGGTCGCCTCAGCCACTGATGGTGTTTCTACATTGATCCTTGACCATCACAGCCACCACACACCGCAGTCGCCAAGTTTTTTTCAAAAGGCTTCAGTTGCAACAGCGGTACTTAAAGCTCCACTGTAGTTCGAAAAGTTTGCAACATGCCAGAACCATCATGGTTCCTCCAGCAGCACATACGACCAATCTCGAGCCTGGCTTTCTTGCCAGTTGTATCTACAAGTCAAAACCCGCTCGAGACGTCTGGGAACCCCTGGGACTTTTCAGTTCAGTGAATGATGCGCGCAAGGATCCCGAGTTTGCTAAGGAAGGAGCGAACGAGCTGTACAAGAAGATTAAGCGTATAGCCAAAGACTACAGCAAATCTTACGCCAATGGTATGGAGAGACTGCAGGCTGATCTGGCGAAGGATACGACCTTTTCGAATGATGTTCAGGAGCTGGCACGGCAGTATGGGACAGTGATTTGGGGTCGACCTAGTGATAGTCAAGAACGTAATGATACAGGGCTGGATGCAGCATTGGAACTAACATGGGACGAAGAGAGCGACCGGAAGAGGTGTGTGAATTTTCTTGTCTGTTGAGAATCTTCTAACTTCACGTAGGATCATGTTCTACATACGTTGCTGGATCGTAAGACTCACAATGAAGGTTTTCAGTACCACACCGCGAAAGCCGCCGAAGAAGAGTTTAGTGCGTCCTCTAGAAGTGATCGAAGACGATCATAACGCATCTGATAGTTCTGGTCCATCAGATCTGCACCTAGTCCCAGTTGCACGTATGTTACCGCCATCAACGTGTGGGACTGTCCAACCGACAGTGGAGTCATGGAGAGAAAGTGCCGCCACACATACTGGTTCTCGTTCGAACGCGAATATAAACACAAGTCTAGATGCACCGCGCACTACACCTGCCAAGTGTTACGACCAAACGACGCCGAGTAAGAGAAAAGCGATCGACATTGACGAAGGAGCGTCAAACGGAAAGCTTCCCAAGACCTGCAAGACGGCAAGGTCCACCCAAGTACCGGTTCGAAGACAGGACAGAGACCCATATTCGATTCCTAGATCACCTACAGCAGTCGCAAATCGGGTAGCGGAATCTTTTGTGCAGCAGAGGATTAGGGAAAGTAGCTACAACACCGATCGGACTTGGAGACCTCGAGATGAGACTGCTGAGACAGAGACTATTGCTGATGTGGGAGAAGTACGTGACATTGAGCTGGGTAGGTGATATAGCAGCGGTGCGGAAGATACGAGGGCTAGAAACTGACGGTTCGTCCAGACTCATTCATGCAATCTACAATCTTGGATGCAGAGCGCGATCGGCTTTTTGAGAGAAACGAACAGGATTATTGTATTGCAGGGCCATCTGGGACCTACAGAAACCCATTTCGACAGGACTCAGTTAATCCGGGCGACGCACAAATGGACATCCAGCGAGCGACCACCGAGTGTGTCGAGAGTGGGCCTATTATACGACATACTGCCAACAAAACTACAGTCGACGATGTCCAAGATCCGCGACTGCTAGACAGACCAGGCATTGAGGCCACACAAGAGGAAATGCGTCGAATAGAGCTTTTCAAACTCCTGCTGTCACATCTAAACAACATCAACCAATTCAGCGCAGAAACATACAGCATGGAGGCTGAACAGCGAATGAACATGTTACTCCATCAATTCCGCATCAACGACACCGAACTCCTACAAGCCAAGCTGGGAGTTGACTTTGCCAGGCTCCAAGTTGCACTCGAGAGCTGGATGGGCATGCGTCATCGCTTGAGCGAATTCCGCGTCGTAACGGGGTACTTGGGGCAGCCGGGCGAACAGTGGGAGGAACATCTGAGACACATGCCTAATGTGCCGTGTGCATATGCGAGTCTCAGCTATGTTGAATTACAGGAAAGTGCCGCGAAGGATCGTGA